CCAATCAAGATTGGCCTTTAAAGCTTCCGCAGTGATAAAATCGCTGCCTGGAGCTTTGCCTTTTTTCAGGTTGTTAATTAGATGTTCAATTTCCTGTGCAGAGACCGGATCCCAGGAGGGGATGTTCTCGAGAGGGGTGGTAATAAATGAAACAGAGTGATAGGCACTGAATAGAGTCGAATAATGGTTTTCCCAGAGTTTTGGTGGAATCTTACTGGCTGGTACATTGCCGAGTTGTCTGTTGGAATTCGAAACCAGTTTCCAGAATTCTCTGCTGTCTTTTGCGTTGGCGGCTTTAATCAAGGCCTGCCATTTGTTTTGAGAGTCAGCTAACTTTTTGGCTCTCAAAATTGCCTTATATTCTTTTTTCTTCTTTTGAATTTCAGCTGCTGAAATAGAGTTTGGGGCACTTTGAAAAGCCTTAAAGGACCTAATTAGGCTTACCTTGGCCTGCCTACAATCCTTATCAAACCAACTATTGGAATAAGAGCTCCTTACATGGGTCTTATAAACTTCTTTTGAAAAAAGGGGGGTTAGTGTAGAGGTTAAATGAGTATATATGGTCAGAGGTGAGAGGTCTTCCTTTGCTTGGTTTGCAAAGTTACTGAAGAAAGTTTTCCCTTGCTCTGACAGAGTCCACCTAAGGAACTTATCGTTTAGCTCTTTATTCCACTTAAGTTTCTGTCTGCCTATCATTGGTATTGAAGTGGAATATGGATCGCAATTATTAGAAAAACCAGCTAAGTCCTTAGGCCATCTCAGTATAAGAGGAAGGTGGTCACTTTCAGGTCTTGCATCAACTAACAGATCAGTGACTCTTATAAAAAAGTCTTGCGAAGACAGTAGATAGTCTATTGTGGTATGCTTGGGGCCAGCCCAAAACGTAAATTGACCGGGGCAGTCTCCCTCTACGGCACCGTTAAGAATATACAAATCAAGCTTGTGGGCCATTTGTGCGAGGCATAGACCAGCGTAGTTTGCAACTGGATCTAAAGAAAAGATTTTATAAAAAGGAAGAGCACTGGCTGCAAAATTAAAACCATAGTTAAAAGTTAGCATCTCGTCATTTGTATGATTTGGGCTTGAGACAGATAAGAAGTTCCTTTTAATTCATATATAAATATGAATTATACACACATGCACACACACATATGCCATCATGGCATGCATCGTGGAACTTCCATGCTATTTTTGAGACACTGATCTTTGCTCTATGATTTTGATGGACTGGGTGGTGGAGGTGCCAAGAAAAGATGTGATGCCCCCACCCCAGCCATAAAGGACATACTTGATTTCAGATTCAGGATCTTTTCTGTAGTGTATTCAAAGCTGCCTTGAATGCATGATACATTGTGAAACATCTAATTGAAGTGTAATGTAAAGCTTCGTCCTGGGCTAGGATCCAAATCCATCCAATCGTGTTACTAGCCCAGGAAGCACCTAACCAATCACTTTCAAGCAAGCTCCCTGAGCGGGAACATCCGTGATTGGTCCTTATGCGAACAACCTTATTGGTTGGTATTTGTACAGTGGGTGTGGCTACATTAGCCGGGGATGTTTAAAAGCAGGACAGCTGCAATGTAAAGGCTGTTCCGGCTATCAGATGTTGATCCGTGTTGGAGTTGTGTTCGAGTTGAAGAATAAAGTTGTGTTAATCTTGCTGAATCACTCTCCGACTGCTTTGTTAAGTGAGCGACTTAACATTTTCAATAAGCAGCAGGATAGATAATTCATATGGAAACTTAGCTGGCCAGCCAAACTACAAGTAACTGCAGTGATCAGTCTTGCAAAATGTACGTTTTGCTGTCTTAACTCGTAAGAACAAAGGACGGTAGAAGCTTTCAGGTGCAAGCACACTTCCTCAGATACAGATGACAGCTGATACCATAAATAAAACTTTGTTGGTCTTAAAGGTGCCACTGGACTCAAACTTTGTTCGGCTGCTTCAGTCCAACATGGCTACCCCACCTGAATTTAACTAGTAAGAGATTAAAAAAAAAATTACTTGCAATGATTTTGCTTGGTGGGACAAATGATATAAATGAGATATTTTAAGATATGTGCTGAAAGTGGGGAGGGCCTGACTTTTGCAGTGCCAAAGTGGGGAAGCGAAGTGGGTCGGAGGCTGGGGGGTTAGGGTTAGGAGTGGCAGGAAACGTGCTGAAAGACCTTTGAGAAAGAGACCAATGAACAGGAAAATGGGATGTTTCAGTGTGTGCGTGTCTGCCCCCCGTATGCTTTCTGCAAAACATATGCTAGCCCTACAGGAGGTTTCCCAGATGAAATGCAAACAGCAAATCCATACAGAGATTAAATGTTGTGGTGGTTGGTGCTGTATGATAGTTCAATGACAAGAGTTTCTCAGGGCATTGTCTTCCTGTTGTGTTCTCTCAGGTCTCGATCAATCAGTGGAGCTTCGTCTGGCCTGTCAACCAGTCCCCTCAGCAGTCCAAGGGTAAGTGGGATTGTTTGGGAGGGGTCTTCGTTGTAACCTCCTGGTGAGCTCAGTGACCTGCTAATATTTCTTTCTGTGGATTGAGAGGTGTTTGTTTTGTCAACCAGAGATATGATGCAGAGATTAAATTTGTGACAATTGGTATAGGGTCTCCCTGTGGGTCTCTGTGTGCTAGTAGCATTGTTACCACCTAAAGCGTCATTGTGGCTTAATGGCAGTACTGCGTAAAATCCTGTTGGAGAGTTTATTGTGTAATGAGAAGAACATCTGCTGCCTAGTGAAAACCCAATGGTGAGGCATTGAACCATACAAGCTAGCACTAGCCTTGGAGTAAAAAGCACAGCTTAACGTAGCTGGGAAAACGACAACTTCTAGACAGCACAGGAATCATGCAGAGTTGGGACTACGATGCTCCAATGTGTAAACGGTAATCATTTGGATCTGATGGGGTACAAAAAGAATTATGCAGGAAAAGTAAGGAATTTTATAGCCTCAGTGAGAAGGGTGTCTCGGGATGGGAAGACAGGGACCGATTTCACACAAGAGCTGCGCTGTGGTCGCGCCTCCCTTTGCCCCGCTTCTATTGGTCAATTTCCCACTCGAAGTCACGTGGCCACATTTTGACCCATGGCTTCACCCAGTTTTCCCCACGGTTTCGTGATCCTCAAAAAACAGGAACACGAAACCGCGGGGGGAATTGGGCAAAACCGCAGGTCAAAATGTGGCTGTGCGGCTTCGAGTGGGAAATTGACCAATAGAAGCGGGGCAAAGGGAGGCGCGACCACAGCACAGCTCTTGTGTGAAATCGGTCAGGGTTTCCACACAGTCTCTTATTGACCAGGGCTTTACTTCAATTTAGTAAGTCACTGAACAAGGCAAAGCTTGTCCCCCCCGTCTTTAAAACTTAGTCATTTGTGTAAATGAAGTCCTACAAAAGCACCAAAGGCATAACCCTCCCTTTCAAGCCACCTTGGACCCTCACAAATGGGTCTTTCCTGTCTAATTAGAAGTAGTGGGTTAACCACCTTTCTGACTCCACCATTCTGCAGAAGTACAAGAGCTGTGGTGTATCAATGTGATATTGCAACTTCTCCCTGGCCCCAAATTACATTACAAATTATATTTAGTGTCAAACAGTGCTTTGGAACATCACTTGTCTGAAAGTGTTTTGTACAATTATTCCTTTTTTCTTATTGTATAAGTTAGTTCTTAGCCACCTGTCCCCAAAACTGCTCAAGGCAGATAATATAAAACAATACAAAATCAATCTGCAATTGAAAATTAATCAAACAGCAGCTGTAAAACTAATGATAAAACAACCCAAAATATCATTCAATAAAATAATAACAAAATAACAATGAACCAAGTAATGGTATAAGTCTCTGAATGCTAGGCGGTTGCATAATTGATTTTCCATGCAATTGTGATCTTGAAAACCTCCCTCAGCTGTGTATATTTGGTTCCTAGGAGCCATCTCTTTGGTTTTAGTTGAGGTGTGCAAGATCGAGTCCTGCAGGCAGCATTTGCAGTATCTTCAGCTACACAGTAATACTAATTTGCAATCCTTATTTAGAAGCAATAGTATTCCATCAGCTAAAGTAAATAGAGACACCGTGGAGCAGAAAACCTCTCAAATGACCATGACCTCAAAAAACTGATTGAAAGAGAACTGTGATTATTTAAAAACAACAACAATTGGGGTTGCATCTTTATTCCCTTGAAAGAAATAGCAAAAAGCCCATTGATTTAAATAGAAACAGATTGGACTCTGTAAATATTTAATTAGGTAAAGTAACTAATTAGGGATGCCAAAAGTAGTCTTTTTACCATTCTACCATGAGTCCTTTCTATTTGTGACTCTCTTCAGCAGAGCCGAAAAGTTACTGTATCAGGATTTCAATTTGGCTTTTCTCTTAATATTTATTTTACTATTATACATACAATAATAAATAATATAAAATAATATTAGATTTTATATAGTTTTATGTAATTGCCACTTTTCTATAAATTCAGAGCAAAAAGAAATTGCAGGGCAATATATATATTACAAACATATTTGTGATTCTTCTAAAGGACTGTTTTACAGAAAAGAGTTACCACAATTTCATTACGATGTTTTTTCTAATCTATAATTTTGTGTTTGTGTGTCTGTTTTGTTCCCTGAGTATGTTTGATTTCTGCTACAGTCTATTTCTTTGAATGCACTTGTAACTAACCTGTGTTACTTCAGGGTTTTTTGTTTTTAAAAGAAGATAATAATCCATTTTTTTCTTTTGGTATGGTAAATTATGAATGGTTGCTTACCTTTTCAAACTTGACACTTCACCGCATAATCATAGGATTCAATCACGAAATGAGATTCTGGGATTACTACAAAAAATCAAGCAGTGATTTATTGATTTTATTTTTGGGGACAACCATCTGTGATTTTGGGGGGACAATGGTCTCGTTATCAGGATGAGGTGGGGGGAAATTACTTTCTGTCTCAGTATATACCAGACTCGCTTTGGTGATGCTTTGAACTGAACTATGTAATCCCAAACCCTGTTGGTCCATGATCTCCTAAGATTTTACATTATGTGCCAGCCACAGAAAACAGAGCCCCCATGGATGGAAGGCCAGGGAAGGAAGGGGGATGAAGGGTTAGAGCCCCACTCCCCCATCTTCTATCTCATACGTACTCATGCACGACACATTGCCGAAGCCTTTGGAGCTTTGGCAGAGAAGAGTGAGATCTGATGTATGAACTAAGCCGTGTGCCTCTACCATCACTTGATGCACACATATTATTTTTGATGAGCCTTTCCCTGCTGTGTTTGATTGTGGTGGACATTTTGAGCTGGGAGAAGGCAAGCTCAGCCTACATGCTTATATATTGGCTTTCACTGTGGCTTGAATGGTGCTGCCTTCTACTCCCTCGCTTCCCTTCAGCCTTCTCTCTCTCTGTTAGAGAAGAAGTTAGAGCTCAGGGGTATGGCGCTTTCTCTCTCACACACAGCTTCTCCTCTGCCCTCGCCTACCCTGTTATTTTAATTTTGTTTTCCTTCATGTTACTTTTTGCTCTGTGGTTTTTTGTTGTTGTTGTTGTTGTTTTTTGCTGACACATAGTTGGTTAATATGATGAAGCTTGTGACAAAACTGTTGTTCTCACTACAACCACTGCTGCTGCTGTTGATTATGCTGCGTTCCCAGCTAACTGCATGTTTTTTGTTTTTGTTTGTGTTTGTGTGTTTTTTTTTGTTTCTTTGCAAACCCCTAACCCCACCTCCTTCAACCTCACCTCTATAACTCGTACCTCCTTGTGATGTGGCACACAATCACAACTCACATGGGCTTTATTTCTCCATTCACCCACTCTCTCTGTGTGTGTATGTGTGTGTTTTGTCGTTCTTGATGTGCATGAATACTCTCTGTATGTGTACCTTGTAGCCTATCAGAAAATTTTTCATCCCCCCTCAGACCCCTGACCTCCCTTTCTCCCCCCGACCCCAAGTGTCCTTGGACTCTGATGCTTGTAGGAACGTTTCCAGGCCTGGACATGTTCTCCAACCAAAACCAGCACTTCAGCCCAATCCAAAAACACAGACTTTACCATCCAAAAGCAAATTGGCTGATAAACCACTACAGTCTACTAAATCCAATCCACTTCCCTCTAGCAATGCTATTGTTCCTCCTTCCCAAAATGCCCCAGCACAGAACACTCAGAGCCACCTACCTGCTCCTGTGTTGAGCCCACAGCTGGCCGTTCCTACGGTGCAGACTAACCCTATGTCTCCTGTTAGATTGCTCCCTTCTAGTACTGACCCAAGCACCAAATCTATCCCCATCATACAGGTCACCCCTCACCCCTCTCCAAGGGGCAGTCCCCTCCCTACCCCCAAGGGGACACCTGTCCATACGCCAAAGGAGAGCCCAGCAGGCACACCCAACCCTACGCCACCATCCAGTCCCAGCATTGGAGGAATGCCCTGGAGAACACGACTCAACTCGATCAAAAACAGCTTCTTGGGGTCTCCTCGCTTCCACCGCAGGAAATTGCAAGGTATGTCTGTTCTGAGAAAATGGAAATTTAGTTTGGACAAGTAGCATATATGCTAGTGTATAGTATAAATGAGAGACATAGATAGTATGACAAGGGTGTTTGAAAATTCACAGGCCACCACTTGATTGTGTTGCTGTACTTGGCCTTTCTGACTATGCTGTTCAAGCAGTCTTGCTATGTGCAAAAATCTCTGTATATACCCTATTCCCAGATATTTTCCCTAGCTTTATCAACTTTAATTTTGCACAGCAAGTAAAATGTATTAGGCTTTTGTAATCCAAAATTGCGTTTTTAGGCCTTCATATAGAAATATTTTTCCAGTTAAATGGTTTTTAGCTCCCAGTATGCTACTTGAAGAATAATATAAACCAAAAGTATCTGTTTTCATTTTAAGATTGAAAATGTGGTATAAGGGTAGTTGCGGTTAGGGATGGGCATGAACCTTGTCACAAACCTAATTTCATTATGAACATCACGTGGTTTGTGACCTGAGGGTCATGCGATCGCACCTCTAACAAACCTCCCATAGCCCTCCATGCTTTTTGTAGAGATTTGTGTGGTTCGTGCGTCAGACACACTGTCACAGATCAATTAATTGGCAAAACAATGGGGGATGGACTTCCAGGTGAACTCACTGCTTGGACTTCACTCACAAGTGGCGCAGCTTGCAAAAGTCATTTAAAGGGAGCATTCCCTTTAAGTGGTTTTTGCAAGCCACACTGTGTGCGAGTGAAGTTCAAGCGGCGAGTTCACTCACTTCCAGGTGAATTCGCCACTTGGACTTCACTCATGCACAGCACGGCTTGCAAAAGCCATTTAAATGATTTTGCAAGCCAAACTGTGTGCGAGTGGAGTCCAAGTGGTGACTTCACTCAGAAGTGTGTGAACTCACCACTTTAATTTCACATGGCTTGCAAAACCCATTTAAAGGACACATTCCTTTTAAATGGCTTTTGCGAGATCTCCCCCCCTCCTTCCATTCTGCTGGTCTTAGGGAGCTGCCACTAGCAGAAAGGAAGGATGGAAAATCTCAGCTCTCTCCCCCCCCACCCTGCAGGAGGAGAAGCTGACCCCAGGATCTGCGTGTGGTTCTCCTCCCATGATGCCTTTAGCCCTCAGGGGGACCATTCTACCTCATCATGAACCTCATGAAATGAACTGGTTTGGTAAACAGGGAGGTTCATGAAGATTCATGGTTCGTGTGACCCTACGAACCAGGACGAATGAATCTTCATTTTCCTGGTTTGTGCCCATCCCTAGTTGTTGCACCATCTGCTCTCGCCATGCTGTAACATCCACTCATGGCTTTATTGCTTGTACTTCAGTTCTGCCCATCAAATTCCCCTGTTTATTTTTTGTCCTGCGCCACCCTCTGCGGATAATACTTGCATAAGCCATTCTCTCCCTCAGACCCAGTCTTCTGTAAATATGAGACGGCGCACTGTGTAGTGTTAGAACGAGAACATCCATCTTCAATACATTTGCTGTCTTGGGCTGATTCCACACCAAGGCTTTTTTTTGTTTTACCCCCATGATGGTCATATTGCTGTTGTGATTGTTGATTAATTTGCACTTGAAATAACAACTCCATACGACTCAGGGGAATCAATTTTTTTCACTCTTGTTAGCCATGGTTCCCCTTTCACACCAGATGCAGATTACAGTCCCACCCCCCTGCCCGCTGTTGTCATGTTGCCATCATGATTCTCTGTGTACCTTTTTGGTTTTTGGTGCATGTGTAGCACTGCTCAAGAATAGTGTGATGCTACACTTAAACCATATATTTGCAGATCATTCTTTCAGCATGACGAACTGCTCGAATAATTTGGTAATGCTAATTGCTGGAAGAGCCTGGATGTCCCATTGCAGTCATCGACATTGAATTGACTAATCGGCCTCCTCTTGCTTGGGGAAAGGGGAAAGAGCACTTCAGGAGCTTTTCAAATGCAGACTGAGAGAGCAGAGAAAAACACTTGTATTGTCGTAATGCAGTAACAGCACAAGAACTTGCCTTTGCCCTGTCCCCCCCAAGGAAAAAATTAAAATCTCAATTTTGTCGATGTCAGCAATGACACCAAGCAGGGGTCATTTCGTAGAAAAAGAGCTGCAGGAGCTCATTAGCATAACTCATTAGCATAACTTATTTGCATGTGCCACACCCCCGACATCACTGGAAGTGTGTCAGAAGGCATCACCCACCGCTCAGGCTCCACTTGGATTGCTAGCTATTGGGGGGGGAACGTGTAGATCTGTCCTCGCAGAGGAGGGAGAGCTTGTACCTGAATAAGACTTGGCCTTAAAGGTGCCACTGGACTGTTTTGGACCGGGGGGCCGGGGGGAGCTCTGCAACTCACCTGGCTGCTTCTTGCTCTGACTGAGGGCTGTTGGGAGCAGGGGGTGGGGCTTGTTGCATGTGCCCGCCCCCTGGGCTTTTTACTGCTGGAGCTCCGCTCCTGTGCGCTCCTGCAGGAAATGACCCCTGACACCAAGACAGTCCACTGTGAAAATGTAGAGCAGAGGAACAAAAGTGGCATTTCCTTTCATTCAAACACAAGGCATGCTTTGCCTTCTGTACACGTGACGAAGATCATCCCAACAACACCTTGCTTGGAAAGACTGGGGGTTTTTTTACTCCAGCTTTTTTTTAAAAAGTAGGGTTTTTTAGTAGGAAAAAACGGGCTGTTCACATTTTGTACGGGAATGGAAGATGATGTCATGTGGAAACAAAACAAAAGGTGCATAACGAGAGTTGCTGAAATGGAGGGAAACCTCTGCAGGAATTCAGCCTTAAACACAAGTATGTTCAACAAATAATTGGTGCTTTCAGGTTTTCTTGAGGCATGGGCTTTGGAAAGATAGGAGAACATTGAGAAAAATTGGGTTGCATCTAGTTATTTCTTGGGATCAATTTTCTTCTTAATAGGCATAGGGCTTAAAAAAATTACATCCATGATATTTCCGAATGTTATCAAGATGTAGGCCGCCAATGTGCTTTTGCTGGGAGAGATGTGGCAAGGGTGCATGAAAACGGCCATTAGAGGTCGGAAAACCAATTATGGAAGAGACCTTTTGGCTGAATTGTCATGGTGGCACACAAGGCTGTTTCCACACGTATGTGCCTATCTACAGTCTGCACTGTGTCTTGGTTCAGATTTACATCAGCTGTGCAACCAAATAATATTCATCCAAGTTGTAAGATCCAAAATACAGGCTGGAGTAATTGCTACTGTGGCCACTGGGCTGGAGATAGCAGGTCACAGCTTTGGTATTCAGTAAAAGTGTGATGTTTTGTTCTTTCTTTCTGGGCACTAAGTAGTGGAATGTACAGGAATGACGGTAGCCTCAAGTTAGAGACATCTAACTCAAGCCCTTTATTATTCAAGCTTCAGGAAAATGAATGTAGACAGACAAAACAAAACTAACAAAAAAACCCAGAAAAGGAGTCTGCAAGTATCAGTGCATGGTTAAGAAGAGTCGGAGAGTTGGCACCTTCCATGAAGTGATGCAAAATATGTTTCCAAATTTATCATAATTATTCCTTGTGAATGGCCTTTTTAGCATCACAGTTTTCCTTTGTTAAGCATGTGTGATTTCGCAGGGCTCTTTTTGTAGCAGGAACTCCTTTGCATATTAGGTGACACACCCCTAATGTAGCCAATCCTCCAAGAGCTTACAGTAGCCCCTGTAAGCTCTTGGAGGATTGGCTACATTAGGTGTGTGTGGCCTAATATGCAAAGGAGTTCCTGCTACAAAAAGAGCCCTGGACTGTGGCCTTGTGGGCATCTGTCTCCAGTCAGTCAAGATAAGTTGTCTTTGTTGCTAGGGAACTGTTTGTATGCAGTGTCCATGCGCATGATCAAAGTCTTTGCATGTTCATCAAGAAGCACATTAACTGCCTGCTACAAAAAGAGCCCTGGACTGTGGCCTTGTGGGCATCTGTCTCCAGTCAGTCAAGATAAGTTGTCTTTGTTGCTAGGGAACTGTTTGTATGCAGTGTCCATGCGCATGATCAAAGTCTTTGCATGTTCATCAAGAAGCACATTAACTGAAAAGTTTCCTCTTTGATAAACATACAGAGCTGTCATGGGACAGCCAGTGTCACTTAAATATTGAGACCTTTCCCCCCACAATGTCTCCTTATTTTTTTAATTAATATGGCAAAACAATAGGAATTAGTTTAACATATTGCACAAATTACTTTGGGCCCCTTTTGTCCATCACCAGTCATGGCAAGTGATAAAGATGCAGATTGAATTAATCCATCGGGCTCCATGCAAGGAACTGTCTGCATGGAACGGATGTGCCAGCTCCCCAACATAAGAGAACTGAAGGATTCACTGTCTGTTTCCAACTTAAGACAGCAGTAGTTTTTTATGTGTGCATGTGTCAATACAGCTTGCGTTATACAAGCACATGTATGTATGTATATTTTCCTGGCTGTCACTAGAAATTTCTATCATTCCTAATACAAGGCAGGTTTAAATTAAGCATCCAAAGGAGGAATTTTCACAGCTCAGCATTCCACCCTATTTGTACCTTGGTTAACCTTATCAGGGCCTGTATAGAAATATTGATTTCTATAGGTTTCATGTTTCCCCTGGAATGTCTCTTGCTGGGACCCTGCTGTGTTGATTTCCTGTTGAAGCCAAATAGAGAGGTCCAGATGGCCTCTATTGCCATGCCATAAAAACATTCCTTCACACCTCACAGGCCGGATATGGGGGGGGGAGGCATAGCTAATTGCCCTGGTGCAGTCTGATGCGCGATTACGCGATCGGAGGCATGGCTAATTGCCCTGGTGCAGTTTGATGCACGATTACGTGATCAGAAGCGCCGGCGGCACACCACGGGTCCTTCCCTCAGCGTTGGCGGGTAAACGAGGGACCGGAGGGGAATGCTGCGCGCTGGCGCGATCACACCACGGGTGTCTGGAGGCAGCCCGTGGTAAATGTTTACTAGTACCTTGGAGGTACTAGTTTTTTAAGGCGCTTTGTTGGCGGTAAGCCACTGGTGCGCTCCACTTCCCAGATGTTGGGGTGTGATCGCGCCCGGATAATCCGCCCACCATCCGTGACTCTCCCGCGGCAATTTTGGTAGATTTTATGTCCTGAATTTTAAGAGAGGCAAAATATCCCCTTTTCAGATGTTTCAAGTAACCAGGATGTCAAAAGAAAGGTCAGGGGCCTCCAACATCATGCCCTTGGGCACCATGATGCCTGTTGACACCTATCCTGATGTGCACCATGTGTTACGGAATGTGGGTGGGGCTAGGTAAATCTTTTGGCCAGCAGGGCTTCTGATTGGCCACTGTAGATCTGATTGGCTGTGCAGATTTCTAAGACGTTGCACTGCCACCACAGCCCAAGGGTCTTCACTGCGTGACTGAAAGTCAGCTTTATGCATACAAGAAAATATTTTTAAACAAGTTAATTTTAAAAGGCATTCTGTTAAAGAAGAAGAAGAAGAAGAGATTGGATTTATACCCTGCCCTTCACTACCCAAAGGTATCTCAGAGCGGCTCACAAACTCCTTTCCCTTCCCCTCCCCACAACAGACACCCTGTGAGGTCGGTGGGGCTGAGAGAGCTCTGACAAAAACTGCTCTTTTTCAAGGACAGCTCTTATCAGAACTATGGCTTGCCCAAGGTCATCCAGCCAGGTGTGAGTGGAGGAGCGGGGGAATCAAACCTGGTTCTCCCAGATTAGAGTCCGCGCACTTAACCGCTACACCAAACTGGCTGAAATGTTGAAGAGTTACTTGGCCCTGAAATGTAGAAGAGTTACTATTAGAGCTACACATGACCTCACTCCCTGCCATTTTGTGGTTGGTTCTGTCCCCTGTGGCAGCCATTTCGTGGTTGAACCCACCACCCTATCAGAATTCCAAAGGTATCTGCGGGCTCAAAAAAGTTGGGGACCTCTGGACTAGATGGTACCAAATTTTAGCTTTCTTTCTGTCATAGAATGTCCTTAATTATTTTGATACCAACAGTGAATGAGTAAGGTCCAAGTATAGACAGAGTCAAAGATTGTTGAAAGTAATTAAACAGAAGAATCTAAGAATCTAAGACAGCGAAGAATCTAAGAATCTAAGACAGCCAAGTAGCCCAGTCGTCTATATATAAACAGAAAGGTTAGATGCATTTGAACACCTTGGGATCAGTGATTAATCGATTAAGTAAAGACTGCGGAGTTTGAGATGCGTTTTAGTATACTTAGAATTCATCAGGATGTTACTGACTTGGAAACAGCAAAAGGAGGTTTTATTTAATCCATATTTCCCTTTATTTTCCCGTTCTGTATCTGCATATGTACAGTACCTACACCAGAAGAGATGTCGAATTTAACTCCAGAATCTTCCCCAGAGTAAGTAATTCAGTGTCATATTACCCGTATCACCACCAACTGGATTCTTGTGTCTCTGGCAATACAATTAGTATGGGACAAAATACTGCATGCCCTCTGTTCTCCCGCTTTCAGTTCTGCTGCTGCTGCTGCATCATAGCTTGCTTCGCCAGACTCTCTTAATCACTTAGCCATTTCATGTTTTAACCTGACCGTGAGATTTCTGCGGTGAATGTCAATCAATCAAAAGTAGGTTTGCAGCTCACAGAGCTAATCTTTTAAGCATGGTTTTATTTTAAGTTTTTAAAAAAATCTTTGTGTTTGTGTCCTTTATAAAGTTTATATCTCTGCGACCTGGCATTACATTTTATGACACACGTGGCCTGCCCCAACAAGGTCTCATTAATGTCAGATTCGGCCCTCGTAACAAATGAGTTCGACACCCCTGTATTAGGGCCTATCGCCTAGATTATAATAAGCCATAAACATGTAGCAGAAACAGCAGATGTACACCACCATCTGAAAAAGGTGAAAACATTATTTCTGATGTCAGATGAGCTCTGAGTTAGACCTTCTGCCGAAAAATAAAAGTTATCCATTAAGCCAACCCAAGGTAAAAATGTCTCAGTAAGTTCAGCAAGTTCCATCCTTCATACTTTATTGAAAATAATATTTTGCATTCTGAATCTTGAATGTACCTCTGTATTTGATGAAAGAAAAATGCTGAAGACATGGTACTAAAGCTCAGTTCATAATTAACATGCCTCCTTTCCTGGGAGCTTTGTTAAATAGACAGTAAGCCTAGGTTCTTGGGATTCTTCATCAGGAGGTTGCCTACTGAGATGTAACTCACTCCATGACCACATGGTCCATGCTGTTAAGGCTGATCTGGTTGAGTCAAAAGTTACTGCAGAAGCACTGGAAGAGTTTCTGCTTGCTATAGAAAAGGCAATAGCATAAAAAAGTACAGAATGGGGTCGCCAGCCCCCAGGTCCAGGCGGGGTTTCCCCCGCTTCTGGAGGCTCCAGTCATTTTTTTAATGGACATTGGGGGCACAGTGAGTGGGGCCACAGTGAGCAGTGAGCGGGGCAGGAGCACGCAGGTCTGAATCCCAAGTGGTCAATCGCCACTGGGAAACCAGCCTGCATGCCGCAGCCCCCACCCCACTCGGGTCTTATTGTTAGCAGAGCTGCGGCCAGCGACAGCCCCTCTCTGTGTGTGCTGAAAGATTTAAAGTGCCCTCCAGCTGATCAGCAGGTAGGGTTGCCAAGTCGCGGCAGGGGATTGTGTGGCTTTGCAGAATCCGTGCCGCGGGGACGGTAAGATGCGTTGCACCCACCATCGCCAGGACATGACGCTATGCGTCGCTCTGGCAACGGGGCTCCAAACAGCCCCGTTGCCAGAGTGACGCATAGCGTCATGTCCTGACGACGGTGGTGCAACGCATCTCACCGTCCCCATGGCACGGATTCAGCAAAGACATGTGGATCCCCCGCTGCGATTTGGCGAGATTTGGGAGCCCTATCAGCAGGCCACATGCTCCCTGCCAATCGGCTGAAACCCTTTAAATCTCTGCAGGAGGGGGCGAAGGGGTGGCCCCCCGCCGGAGCGGTGAGGGGACCTCTGGCAACCCTAGTATAGAAGCCATTTAATAAAGTTGTTTTCATCCTAACGTAACGCCCAATGTCCATTAAATAAAAATGTGCCTGAAAAACTGCATACGCCTATTTGTATACAGTTTGTTTTGGTACATCCAGTGCCCCCCATAGACTTCCTTGGCCATTGATATCATTTGACACTTGATAGAGGCAGAAAGTGAAGTAATCACGAGCTCCACATGATGATTTTGGAGCAAGACACTTTTCAAATCCTAGTGCTTTGCATTGTTTTTTTTTTAAATCCTGGGTATTCTGTCACTGATGTAACAGCAACAAAGGGTGATAGAAGTGACTGAAGAATGAAAGTGAGTAGAGGTTGACGATCCCATTATAAGCAGAGTTATACCCTTTAAGTCCAGTGAAGTCAATGGGTTTAGAAGGGTGTAACTCTGTTTAGGGTTACACTGATAGAGAGCTTCAGGAGAAAGGATACAAATATTTAAAGTACGTCACCTTTATCTTTTCATGGTGTAGGGTAGCACTGAAAGCAAAGAACCCTCCCTCTCTTTTCCGTCACTTCTTCCTTTTCTGCTTATATGTGAGATCCTCTGTGAATCCACTGTCTTTTTCTGCCCCTTACTCTCCCTTTAAGAAGCACTTTGTAAAGTGCAGCCTTAGTAGGCAGTTTGGATGCCAAACAAGCCCTAAGGCCCTTTCCCCCTTTCCAATATAATTGCTGAATTAATGGGTTCAATTTGATGGCACCCTGCAGTAAACATAATAAAAGTTGTAAAAAATAATGAACTGCATTTTTATTTCAGCCATCAAGGCCTTTATGCTCTGTGACCACTTTGGAGGGGTTTTTGTTTTTTTTTTTTTGGGGGGGGAGTTGCTTCAGAAATAAGATGTCTTGAAGAAAAATGTTTGCTGGCCCTGCGATTCAAATGTTACGTAAATGTGTTTCCATTCTCTGTTGCTGTATCTTTTAATGACTCTAATTCGTTTAACAGTTCTGATGACTGGATAATATACCTTGACATGTCTAGGTAATGTGTATCATTTCACTTGTGGGAAGAGCCTAGATAATTTAATAGAAATGAAAGTGATAGGCCCACATCCTCTTCTGATGTAAAGCAGCATGACTCCATCTGATCTTTAAATTTACCATATATATCCATCTATATATTTATTTATTTATTTATTTCATTCCATTCCATTTATATCCCGCCCTCCCCACAGCTCAGGGCGGCTTACAAGGCACAAAGTGCAATAAAAATAAATAGATTAAAACAACTAAAGAAAAAGAAATTGTGGACAAGAATGGTATAAGAAGAGCTTTCTTTAAATATTATGCAAATCTTTTTGGTAAAAAACTAATAGACAAGGCTAAAATAAACAGATATTTGGAAAAACGGAATATACAAAAAATGTCAGAGAAGTACAAAGAGATGTTAAATAATCCAATAACAAAAAACAAAACTAAAACTAAAACTAAAAAATCCACAGCTCACTGGATACATGAAAGGCTAAAATTACACACTCTGCATTGTATATCAGGAGGGTGTCCGAGGTCAGATGGGGGACACGATGAGCCACGATGTTCCAATTACTCCATCGGCCCAACCCGCCGGTCCTGCTCCACAATTATGCGGCGGTAGTAGTGGCGGCGGGGGGCCCCTCCCCAAAACCCTGCAAGAGCTCCGTCTTTCAGGCTGTGCGGAACTGTAAAAGGTCCCGCAGAGCCCTGATTTCCTCCGGGAGCTCATTCCACCAGGTAGGAGCCGCCACCGAAAAGGACCTGGCCCTCGTGGTAGCTAGCCTGGCCTCTTTAGGGCCCGGGGTCACCAGATGGAATTGTGACCCGACCGAAGTGCTCTTTGGGGCCTATATGGGGAAAGGCGGTCCCTCAGGTATGCCGGACCCTGGCCATATATAACCATTCAACCTACAAAGATATGTATCCTGAATAGACATCAAGGCTGTTTCATGCTAAACATTTTCATACTGAATCTTCCTTCAGTCTCAGTTTACCAACCCCTGTATGATCATCTTAGCATGTTCTGGGATATCACACTGATGTTATTTATAACTGAAGTGTTTATGCTCCAGCAGAACAGGATTCTGCACACACAGGAACTGCAGATGTGAATGTGATGTGCACCCAAATGAAAATGACAGTGCCATCCTAAACTGAGCAAACCCATCTGAAGACCGCCAGTTTGTAGAATCATAGAATGTTGGAGTTGGAAGGGACCTTGCAGGTCATCTAGTCCAACCCCCTGGCACTCTGCAGGAGCATAGCCGAAAGATAGCCCTACAACATATCCAAAAGATGGTGGTCCAGCCCCCGTTTGAAAACGTCCAGCGAAGGAGCATCCACCACCTCCCGAGGCAGACTGTTCCACTGCTCAACCACTCTTACAGTTAGGAAGTTTCTCCTGATATTTAGCCGGTAACGACTCCCTTGTAATTTCCACCCATTTCCGGAGCAAGAGAGAATAGATCTGCTCCATCTTCTACATGACAACCCTTCAGATACTTGAAGACTGCAATCATGTCCCTTCTAAGCCTTCTCTTTCCCAGGCTAAACATACCCAACTCTTTCAGCCTTTCCTCATAAGACTTGGATTCCAACCCTCTCACCATCCTGGTTGCCCTCTTCTGGACACGCTCAAGCTTGTCAACATCCTTCCTAAAATGTGGTGCCCAAAACTGGACACAGTACTCCAGGTGAGGCCTGACCATAGCAGAATAGAGCGGAACTACCAGCTCCCGTGATCTGGACACAGTGCTTCTGTTAATGCATCCTAAGATTGCATTAGCTTTCTTCACAGCCACATCACACTGCAGGCTCATGTTTAGCTTGTGATCAACCAGAACACCTAGATCCCTTTCACATGTGCTGCTGTCAAGCCGAGTCCCTCCAATTCTATATCTGTGCCTTTGAATTTTTTTGTACCTAAGTGTAGGACTTTGCATCGCTCTGAGACACCTTTGGGTAGTGAAGGGCGGGGTATAAATCCAATCTCTTCTCTTCTTCTTCTAAATCCACTGAAGTCAATGGGTGCCAGTGCCATCGTCTGCTTTTGGCGGGATGGGCATTCAATTGCACATGTCTATTCTAGCCCAACTAGTGACATCTATACATCTTCTCAATACATGGCTTGTATTGGATTATGGCATCCCTTGTTAGTGCAAACTTTATTCCAAATACTTGCATGTTGGTCAGAAAGACCTCAGATACGGCTATAACAGAAATCTTTAAGTGAAAAGCCTGCAAAAACCTTTTCATCAACCTTAGCATGTCGGATACATATATTTTATGCTTTTTGTGTGTCTGGGAAAGATTGAAGGTCGAAGAAGACGGGGACGGCAAAGGATGAGATGGTTAGACAGTGTCATAGATGCAACGAACACGAAGTT